TAGGGGTGATCTCGTTTTTTTTTTCGGTGCCCTCTGTATTATTCACCAATTTTAAAATTCTTAAAAAAATGTTCTTGTGTTGAGAAACATTAATTTAGAAAAGATCTTTATTTGGGATATGACGAATGAAGATTTAGATTTTAAGTGTCAGACTATAGACTTGCTACATGTCCCTTCCCTAATTTTCTTTTTTTTTCTTCAATTTTACCCCTTTAACAAGTTTACTGCTATAACTTAGAGATTGACATTATATTGACACCTGCAGAGGAAGAGCAATCAGTCTACTGGGGCATTCAGTGTCATGGCAGTTTTCAGTAAACATATAAATTAGTAAGAAAGAAATAAAAGAAAGTCCCAAGTCTATTGTCGGACGTCAATTTGCCGACTTTTTTTTTCAATTATAGCTTTTTTAAAAGCTTGCAATTAGAAAACTGGTAGCATTTCTAAAAAGATGTAATTGGACAATTAATAGCTATTCTAAAAAACTTGCAGTTAGGAAATTAGTAGTTGTTCTAACAATCTAATTAAAATAAATATCTCTGATTTCGTTAACTGACTCATACGCAAGTTACGATCGATCGATATTTTAATTAGATTGCTGTTCTAAATACCAGCTCTTGCCCTACCTTCTAGTTACGCACTTCTCACATCTAAAAAATGCTAAAACCAGACAAACTTTTTAAAAAGCTAATACTTTTACATTATTTGGACTGTATCCTGTATCCTCTTTCTCTTTTTTTTAAATACAGATGAGACAGGAAAAAGAAATACAGTTTTAGATTTGTGCTGATTCTCTCCTAAGTATGAGCTGGGACTAATATAAGAATATTGGTCAAGGCATGAACAGACACCATGTATGTTAGTTTGCAAGGGATGTATGTTTGGATAGTGTTTGAACTTTGTGATTGTATTGATTTATATGATCGAAATGGGCCCTTATAGTTAAGATGTGGCACAAAATGTACACCATATTTAAGATAACCAATGTCACCAATGTAACCAATGTAACCATGCATTGCGGCAATGGAGGTTACAAAACAAGATAACTTAAATCTCGTGCACGTTGTATGCCTTACATGTTAAAGTTATTAAATGTAAAGCCTTTTGTTTTCTGGTGGGTTTGAACCCACCCCTACTGAAAATGGTCATTTTTTCGATTTTAATACGACCTTGAGAGGTGAACATTGACTAAACTGTGTTTCTTTGTCATTCAAGTATTGCCTTACAGTTACAGCAGTCTATCCATACTGACTGGAAGTAAATGTGACTTGAGAATCTTGCTGGGGAATTATTATTGGCTAGCCAAGTATGCCCAAATGTCCGTTTTTACCGATTTCTGACAAAACGGTGACCTAGATTTTACAGACCACATTTCTTTTGGCCATATTATACCTCCTTGTGTTCCTGTACCATCTATGCAAGTATTTATGATAATAGTTGATACTTACAGCCCATACCAGTAACGTAGTGGCCATCAAAAGACTCCCACCCCACCTGATGTTGGCTACTTTTCACGTTTTTTCCGATTTTGAACTCTAAAAAGGCCATTAAAGTTGCCATATTTTCATAATCACACATCTGAGAAGAGTTTATGGACTATGAAGTGCATGGTTGAAGTCCCTGCTGTAAAGACAGTTGAGCTGGGGCAGTTCTAAAAAAGTATGGAGGGTCATACAGGCCATCAAAGAATGGTGGTCGCCATCACGACTACAGGCGGGATTGGGGGCGAAGGGGTTAATAAACGATGGCTCAGGGGCATATGAGTAGATTGAAATGTGTCGGTGTTGAAAGTGACAAGCAAAAAAAAGTATAGTAAGTTTCCTTCATTTCTGTATAGTTGAAGTGTTATGACATTTTTTCTCTATTCTTTATTTTTGGAACATATTATTCACTTTTTTATAGCATCCTCTTATTCTGTATTCTTTGGAGTTTTTTTGTCTATTTTTTCTCTTATCTTTGTTGCCCATTATTTTGTATTTTGTATCTTAATTGTTCTCTATTCTATAAACCTGTTATTAAATAATATTATAATTTTTAATGAATATATTGTCTATATGAATGTGTATATGTTTGTTTTTTTTCTTACTTTCTTGTTTGTAATTGATATGCCGTATTAAATGTCAAATTCTTGTTCACCGATTACAGTCATTACACTCAAATTCTCACATTTGATTTATAACATACTTAAACGTATATCCAAATTAAAAAAGTCTTAATGATAACCAAAAATTAACAATCCATGGACTCGACAATATGTATCAACGTTTCGTGTCTATTTTAAGCTAGACTCCATCCAATCAAGATCAAATAACCATCGATATGACCTCCGAAGCTGACTGCCGACTGTCATAAAACCCGATGTATACATAATTATAATATATAAATAGGTCGCCAGCACGTGCAATTGGATTTTTCTAGGTCTGTTTGATTTCATGTAATAGGTTAAAAAAATATGTTAATCATCGTTTTACCTGTTGTATAAGACTGATTTTTATTTTGTGGATCAAATCAGTCAACAAAATGGTTCACCCTTGTTTCACTTTCTTTGTTGTCATTCTTTTCCTTTCAATAGCCGAACACACCTAGTACATGCGTAACTCATCTTAATTCAGCTAATGTGTTAAATTGAAGGTTAAATTATTAACATGCAAGTCAGTAATACATCAGCAATGTTGTTGAGTTTATTTTGACAAATTTAGGCCAATCTGACTGCTTAAAACGAAATATAATTTCAAATTCCGCTTTTTTTTATATTTGAAACAAAAAGAATCGTCATTTCGTTTTTTTGTAATAACTGGGACCAGAGACATAGATTTTCAACAAGGCAGGCAGACATGTAAAACAGATATTCACATTTCAGAATATAAATCCGGAATGTGTTTCAAAATACAAATACCTAGGTTTATATTTAAGCTCATCTGATTCATTCAGTTATGCTCAAAATGAACTATACAAAAAATCCCTGAAAGCTCATTTCGAATTAAGGAAAGATCTTTTATCACTTAATCCTGATGTAAAAACAAGTATTCATGTTTTTGACCACACTGTAAAACCTATTTTTTTATATGGTAGCGAAATATGGGGGATGTTTAATTCTCTTTTCTCTAAATGTAAGAAAGAAGATATATCTTTTGAAAAATTATATTCAGGTTTACCCTGTGAGAAACTTCATATAAAATTTTGTAAATTTATACTTGGGGTACACAAGAAAACGACAAATGCTGCAGTGTTATCTGAACTTGGAAGATTTCCAATATATTTTAATATTATAAAAGGAATGTTATTGTACTGGTATAGATTAGAGAATTTAGGTAATAATTTTCCTCTATTAAAAGAGGCATATACACAATCAAAGACACTACATCACATGAATATAACAGCATGGTATGGTTCAATAAATGTTATTTTTAAAATACTTGGTATTGACTATACAAATGCCATAAATGCTCCATTTTGTGAATCCTTATACAAATTTAAGAAATATATACAAACCAAGCTATCAATATTGTTTATTAGCTGTTGGAAAAAACAAATAGATACATTTTCAGACAGTAAACTGAAAACCTACCTTTTATATAAAACAAATTTTGGTTTTGAAAAATATCTAACATTGATCAAGAATTTTGAACATAGAAGAAGTTTTACTAAATTACGTGTATCTTCTCATAGATTACAAATAGAATTAGGTAGATATCAGGGTATTCCCCGAATTAACAGAATATGTAATAAATGTTCTTCCAATACTGTCGAAGATGAGGCTCATTTTCTATTTGATTGTAACAAATTTGAGGATGATAGAAATTGTATGTTAGCTAGTATTGCGAAATATAATTCTTATTTTAATCATATGAGCAGTCAAAGCAAAATTATCTGGTTATTTAGTGTAGAAAATGTTGAGTTACTTAAAATAATATGTAATTTTATATACAAACATCTTCCTTAGTGAAGATTAGTTAAAGGAAATCTATGTGTGTATATACATTTGATTGGACATAGAAAATTATATTCATCTGAATATCACAAACATACTAGCCGATTAAAAAAAAAAAATAATTGTTAAGATATATTATTTATTCAAATGTTCTCTTATATCCTTGAGGCATCGTCCCCTGGTATCAACTGCATTCAAGTTACCTATGATGCTTCCTTGTTTGCTTTTGATACAGGTAGGAAAGAGACATTTACACACATTTTACATGCCTATGGCCCATAAGGTATCGCCCCCTGGTGTCAGCTGCCTTTAGGAAACCATAATACTTTCCTATTTGCTACTGACACAGGATGAGTCATGGACATGCTTAATTTCTACTTTCTTTTTGGCTAATTATTATATGTTTAATTGATCCAACTTTTTGTGTACTATACATATATGGATATCTATTTTTCTTTTTTTCTTTTTCTTGCAATAAAATGCATTAGTATTAAAAAAAAACATACTATAGATTCTTTATCTGCGTATTCTTTAAGAACTTAAATAGATCTCATTAAACTTTTTTTTTATCTCATTGTTTGTATTGTATTAAGTTATGAAAAATTATTGATGTTGTAATGTTTATGCCCTTTGGGGCCCATAATTGGAAATAAAAATATCTTATCTATAATACAATTATCATATGTCTCTGCTGGGACTATTATAATACTAGTACAAGGTTAAGGACCGTTTAAAACCTGAGACTACTATAACACATTGTCTTATAGTAGATCATAGTAGTCTCAGTTAAAACTAACTGGTTTGATTTGATTTGATTAAAACCCCATCCAGACCCTCAAAGATTTCACTGAAAATGTGTATATTTTGTTATTTACATGTTTAAAGTCAAGTACATTATGATGACTACTAATTTGCAATTTCGGTGAATGCACCCTACGTCATTGGTACATACGACCGTTACACATGACTAGTTTTCAGAATAAACAAGAAAAATAAATCCTCAACCGAACACGCGCCCGACAGATGATAGTTTTTTATTTATGTCAGAGAGACGCTTGATAGACATGTCTCACACAGTAGCGAGGAAAGCGTCCAACGAAGCAGATCTAACAGATTGGATACATGTCTTTTTTTGGAACAACTTGAGCAGTATTTAAGAATAATACATATATATCACGACAGCCCACTTACACACAAAATACCGCACTGAAAACATGTTCAATATGTTACCCTTAAGAAAATTAATTGTTTCATTACCTCGCTCTCAAATAAGATTTTACAGAGCCTCTGTAGCTGAGAGTGAAACAGTTTGTCGAGAACAGTACCATGAGCTGGACAAAAACCTGGATCTTTCGAAGTTCACAACAATTGAAGGATCCCAAGGACAAGTGGAAACTATGACGATTCAGGATTCCAAGAAAGCATTGGAAGAAGCAATAGACTATTCTGTTCACGGACCCAGTGCCCAGGGAATACAAGGTGGACATGACGACTTGGTAGACGTTTTGTACAATGAAAAGCTGGAGTCAGATATAGTAAAATCTGATGCTAATGTTGAGGCTTATAACTGCCATAGCAGTTTAAATTTACATGGATGTATGCAGTCTAATGTACCACAGCCATTCACAACTAGTTGTGAACACTATGATTCTCCTTGTAATCTTCCAGGCAATGGGATATTGCAGAAGCAAAAATATATAAATGATGCTATGAGTGGTTACCATCCATCAAGACAATATCACACAACTAATTCACATTTCAAAACATTGGCTCAACCTTCAGCTCAGCAGGAGTCATTCCCTGACCCACAAGGAATACAAGGAGATGATTGCACTCTAGAACTTTGGATGGAAACTTGCATGAGATACAACCTTCCTAATTGTCAAGACCAATTTGTTAATATTAAGGAAGGAAGAAAAACACTGAAAGAGGTGTTTGCTGAGCAAGAGTTAATGCTAAAAGAAATAGCAGAAAACTACACATCAAATACTAAAGCTAGCCTTTCTGCAGAATTACAAATTGACACTGATGGTCCGTGTCCACAAGGTATACAAGGTGATGACTGTGCACGTTATCAGTTATGGTTAGAGAATTGCCAGCGTTTTAGCTTTGGTGAATGTAAAGACCAGTTAACCGGAATAAAAAGTGGAAGAAAAAATCTAGCACAAATTTTGGCTGAACAGGATGCACAAATAAGACAGGCAGTGGCTCATTACTACCAGAAAAGAAGTTATTCAACATCCTCATCATCAAACCAAAACGGATCTGAGGTTGGTAGAGATGTGCAATCTCAAACAAACCCAGGGAAATTAAGTAATAAGGACCGTTTAAAAAGGGCAGTGAAAGAGTATGGTTCAACAGTTATAGTTTTCCATGTAGGAATATCTCTGATTTCTCTTGGAGGCTTTTATCTGGCTGTGTCAAGGTACTTTTATAAAGCTGATGTACAATGTACACTTTGTTAAGTCCTTAGATATATTTTGACCATGGATTTTTAATGTTCTAAACTAACTGGTTGCATATACATGTATCTGGATTTTAGCAAATTTAATTGTTTTCACCAGACTAAATTATTCATACCCATACATGTACATGTACATTGTATTAGTGTATATGCTGTTTTGCAGTTACGTTAGGCAATGCAGTGTTTAGCCAAGAGTTGAAGGATGGAGCTTAAAAATGTATTCATGTATATAGTCAATAGGGAATTACACAGAGGTTCCAAAAGTTTTTTTGGTCCAGTAATTGTTTTAAAAGTTAAACAGGTTGGCTAACCCCTCAAAATAATGACTAGGAGTATCTCTTTTATAAGGGGTTAATTTCAAGTGATAATTTTTTTCAAACAACTTTTAAGTCCTTACATTATTTGTAGAAACTTTTCCAAAGAACAATATGTCTATCTGGTATTATATGGACAAAACAGGTCCATGAGTTTTGGAATATTCATGGACTTCAATCTTCTTTATTATTGAAAATAAGAGGACTCCTTTTTTAGCTCACCGGGGCCCAAAGGGCCCCATGTGAGCTTATGCCATCACTTGGCGTCCGTCGTCGTCTGTCGTCGTAAACTATTTCAAAAATCTTCTCCTCTGAAACCACTGGGCCAAATAAATTCAAACTTTAACTAAATGTTCCTTATGGTATCTAGTTTATAAATTGTATCCGGAGTTTTGATCCATCGACAAACATGGCCGCCATGGCTAAAAATAGAACATAGGGGTGAAATGCAGTTTTTATACGTCCGTTTACGGGACGTATTATGGTATACCTCTGTCCGTCCGTCCGTCCGTCGTCAACATGTCGGACATTAACTCAAAAACACTTTAACCAATTTGCATAAAACTTTGGTGAATTGTTTATATCTATTGACCTAAGCTGCCTTTCGTTTTTTATAGATTTTATATTTTACGTTTCCGAGTTATGGGGTTTTATTCATTAAAAAAAGGGGAATTTTCCAGTTTGCGGACAATAACTCAAGAATGCTTTCACCAACTTGCAAGAAATTTTGGTGAATTGTTTATATCTATTGACATGAGCTCCCTTTCGATTTTTATATATTTCAGATTTTACGTTTCCAAGTTACAGGGTTTTATTCATAAAAAAAGGGGGATTTTCCAGTTTTCGGACAAAAAAATCAAAAATGCTTTCAGCAGTTCTTATGAAACTTTGGTGAATTGTTTATATCTATTGATGTAAGCTCTGTTTAGAATTTTATAAATTTTACATTTTACATTTCTGAGTTATGGGGTTTCATTCATTAAAAAAGGGGGGATTTTCCAGTTTTCGGACAATAACTCAAAAATGCTGTCAGCAATTCTCATGAAACTTTAGTGAATTGTTTATATCTATTGATGTAAGCTCCCTTTACATTTTCATAAATATCTAATATGACATTGAGAATTAATTGAACTTTAATTGTTTATAGTCTGACAACAGATTTACTAAGTATTGCGCAACAGCACAGTGTATTGCACAACAACAAGATATCTTTAATTGAATATAAATTCAATTCATATAACCAATTTCAAGTTCTTTGACTACATTTATTCAGAAACCTATAATATGTCAAATATTTAATACAATCCAAATTCAGACCTGTATCAAGCTTGAATATTGTGTCCATTTTAGCCCCAACTGTTCAGGGTTGGACCTCTGCGGGCGTATCCAGCTGCGCTCAGCGAAGCAGTTTATTTGCTTATATCTCAAAAACTAAAGCTTTTAGAGCAAATCTGACAGGGGGTAAAATTGTTCAATTGGTCAAGATCTATCAGCCCTGAAATTTTCAGACGAATCGAACAACTCATTGTTGGGTTGCTGCCACTAAATTGGTAGTTTTAAGGAAATTTTGCAGTTTTTTGTTATTATCTTGAATATTATTATAGATAGATATAAACTGTAAACAGCAATAATGTTCAGCAAAGTAAGATCTACAGAAAAGTTAAATGACCAAATTTGTCAATTGACCCCTTAAGGAGTTTTTGCCCTTTAAAGACAATTTTACCCAATGTGTTCATCAAGTTTGCTAACATTTAAAAATCTTTTCTTCTGAAACTATTGTGCCTAATACTTCTTAACTTTGAATGAATGTTCTTTTATGAATCTAGTTTATGAATTGTATCTGAAATTTTGATCAATCAACAAACATGGCCGCCATGGCTAAAAATAGAACATAGGGGTGAAATGCAGTTTTTATACGACCGCAAAAAAATTTTTGTGGTCGTATATTGGTATGACGTTGGCGTCGTCGTCGTCATCGTCGTCGTCCGAATACGCATTAGTTTTCGCACTCTAACTTTAGTTTAAGTGAATGGATCTCTGTGAAATTTTACCATAAGGTTCAATACCACAAAAGGAAGGTGGGGATTGATTTTGGGGGTTATGGTACCAACAGTTAAGGAATTAGGGGCCAAAAAGGGGCCAAAAATAAGCATTTTCTAGTTTCCAGACAATAACTGTGGAACAGTGTATGGATCTCTCTGAAATTATACTACAAGTTTCCATACCACAAAGGGATGGTTAGGATTTGCTTTGGGGGGTTATGGCTCAAACCGTTTAAGAATTAGGGGCAAAAAAGGGGGAAAAACAAGGTTGTCCTGGTTAATGGACAAATACTTTAGTACAAAACATAATTTGAAGCAGTGTAAGGGAGATAAATCAAATACATCATTGAAATTATCTCCCTTACACTGCTTTTAAATTATGTATAAAGTAATGGTTAATGAACAATTAAGATAATTTAAAACAGTGTAAGGGAGGTAATCCAAATACAACGTTTTGGTTACTTCCCTTACACTGCTTTTAAATTATGTTTAAAGAAATGCATATTTATAAAGGAAGACCAGTAAAAATATCTGCAAATGTTGCATCTTTTTTTTTTACAAAAAAATCCATATGAAAGATCTGACACTATATTTTAAATTCTATTATAAAATAGATTAAGTTAGCACTATGGTAAATTTAAATGGGTAATTATGGCTGCAAATTCCATTGGAAATTTGAATTGAGATTATGACCATATCTTGAGGGAAAGAATTTTTTGGGGGAAAGAGGGGGGGGGGGGGGGTAAAAAGAAATTGTGGGGGGTCAATTTTTTCTCATTACAGATTTCAGAAATTAAAAAGAATTATTCTTCAAATATTATTTTTTTTTCAAATTTCAAATATTGAAAAATTTCAAGAAGTAATCTTTAATTGCACAGTATGGCGCATTAGATTTGTAAAATCTTTGACCACATTTATTTATTTGTTATGCCGAATCTAACCGTGTATTTAGATTTTTAACTATGGGTCCAGTTTTCAAATTGGTCTACATTAAGGTCCAAAGGGTCCAAAATTAAACTTTGTTTGATTTTAAAAAAAATTGAATATATGGGGTTCTTTGATATGCTGAATCTAAACATGTATTTAGATTTTTGATTTTTGGCCCAGTTTTCAAGTTTGTCCAAATTGGGGTCCAAAATTAAAATTTGTTTGATTTCAACAAAAATTGAATATATGAGGTTCTTTGATATGCTGAATCTAACCATGTATTTAGAATTTTTTATTTGTTGGCCCCGCTATCAAATTGGTTCATATTGAGGTCAAAAGGGTCCAAAATTAAACTTTGTTTGATTTCATCAAAAATTGAATTATTGGGGTTCTTTGATATGCCAAATCTAACCGTGTATTTAGATTTTTAATTTTGGGTCCCGTTTTTTAAATTGGTCTACATTAAGGTCCAAAGGGTCCAAAATTAAACTTAGTTTGATTTTAACAAAAATTGAATTCTTGGGGTTCTTTGATATGCTGAATCTAAACATGTGTTTAGATTTTTGATTATGGGCCCAGTTTACAAGTTGGTCCAAGTTGGGGTCCAAAATAAAACTTTGTTTGATTTCAACAAAAATTAAATATATGGGGTTCTTTGATATTCTGAATCTAAACATGTATTTAGATTTTAGATTTTTGGCCCAGTTTTAAAGTTGGTCCAAGTTAGGGTCCAAAATTAAACTTTGTTTGATTTCAACAAAAATTGAATATATGGGGTTCTTTGATATGCTGAATCTTACCCTGTATTTAGATTTTTTATTTGTGGGCCCGCTATCAAATTGGTTCATATTGAGGTCAAAAGGGTCCAAAATTAAACTTTGTTTGATTTCATCAAAAATTGAATTATTGGGGTTCTTTGATATGCCAAATCTAACTGTGTTTTTAGATTTTTAATTTAGGGTCTTGTTTTTTAAATTGGTCTACATTAAGGTCCAAAGGGTCCAAAATTAAACTTAGTTTGATTTTAACAAAAATTGAATTCCTGGGGTACTTTGATATGCTGAATCTAAACATGTGTTTAAATTTTTGATTATGGGACCAGTTTTCAAGTTTGTCCAAGTTGGGGTCCAAAATTAAACTTTGTTTGATTTCAACAAAAATTGAATATATGGGGTTCTTTGATATGCTGAATCTAACCATGTATTTTGATTTTGGACATTGGACCATTATAGGTAAATTAAAAAAATTGAAGTTCTTAGACCACATTCTTTCTGTGTCAGAAACCTATGCTGTGTCAAATATTTAATCACAATCCAAATTCAGAGCTGTATCAAGCTTGAATGTTGTGTCCATACTTGCCCCAACTGTTCAGGGTTCGACCTCTGCGGTCGTATCAAGCTGCGCCCAGCGAAGCATTTTATTGGCTTATATCTCAGAAACTAAAGCATTTAGAGCAAATCTGACATGGGGTAAAAATGTTCAAAAGGTCAAGATCTATCAGCCCTGAAATTTTCAGACACACCGAACAACCCATTGTTTGGTTGCTGCCACTAAATTGGTTGTTTTAAGGAAATTTTGCAGTTTATGGTTATTATTTTGAATATTATTGAAGATAAAGATAAACTGTAAACAGCAAAAATGTTCAGCAAAGTAAGATCTACAAAAAAGTTTATATGAC